GGTGTGCAGGTGGGGGTGGAGCCAGCTCCAGAGCTGGGAACATAACATTGTGAAGGCATAATCACCCTTTTCAAGTCTTCAGGGGAAAGGTGGGGTGCTACTTTTTGTTAGAAGTTTAAACAAAATAAAGCTGGATTTCATAACTGCTTATCAGGTGTAACGGTCATAGAGATAAGTGGTTTATTTGTTTATATTTTATATTGTTTATCTGCAAATACTGATTTGTAATATGACTATTGTTATACTGCCATCTGTTGATGGAGTCGTGTGTTGCACCAAACACGGACTGATCATGCGCTGAGTGCACGACAGGAAAGGAGAGATGCACGTTGTTGGAGGAAACGGAGCCAGGAAAACTTGGTGTTTAACCTAAAATATGAACAATAACATCTCCTAAATGTTTGGTGAGAAGACGCACACGGTATGTTTATTTGTCTTATTCTGTATAAAAACTTTATTTTGGATTGTTTGTTAGCTAACACCGTTTATATTGTTGTATGCTGTTTTCACGGTGTTTGCTAGCAGAAGAATAAACGCCAGTAAACATCAGTCGGAGCGTGGCTTTTATTCTGCACCGGACGAAGACCTTTGGGAGCGGTTATATCAGGTATTAAAGGACTGACCAAGATATACACCAAGATTATTTCCAAAACACAGAAGAAATCTTATCAAGCATATCCACATAGAGAAGTTCAACATTTCTAAGAGCTAAACCCTCTGATTTATTTGAATTTATCTTCATAACGCTTGTGAATATCCTTCAAATGTATCCCTTTTTGGGCTTTTTCTACATTATCTTTGAAACAATCAAAGGAAGTTGCATTTCTCTCAAAGTTAATGCCAGAGGAAACAGGTTAAATGAGAACAGCATGTGGCCCAACACACAGCCATGAGGGACTCCACAGATCAGAGGAGACATGTTACAACCATGAGTAACCAACATTGTACACTGAGGAATTTGTACTGAATGTTTGACCAAAACCAACTCAATGAGACCTTTTACCCCTACATAACTGTCTGAATGTGACAATGACAGGATTGAATGCCCAGAACATATTTGACCAAAACCCTAAAAACCCCTATTAGAGTGAACAATGTGCTGTGATGAGGTTTGAAACTGAAGTCTTTTTTGTTCCTTTTGAATTATCATGAACTAAAATGTTACCGGCTTCATCTAAAAACATGTACAGTTTGTTAATTGATTTTCTCAAAGCTGGCTGTTGGAATAAATATATGTGTGGTTGTCTCAGTATGTGATGGCAGATGTCATGGAGTGGCCATCTGGTTGCTATAAAAAGCAGTGAGCAAGCTCTTGGAAGTAGTTATTGGTTTTCTGTTCTTGTATATTATGTACAGGCTTTAACTCACAATTTCAAAGTAAACGTTTGACAGGTAGCTAGCTCAGTTGGCTGCTAACTTTCTTACCGGCTCACAACATTCCATCAGGACACACATGAGATTTTTAAAAAGAAAGCTTTGTGCCCTCAAAATTCCCACAAAGTACTGCTTTTCAAGCCATATGGTTAAATTTCACAGAGAAAATATAAATCTATTTGAACAATTAGTCTCAAGGGCCCAGAGTTCTCTCATTTGAGAGAGGAGTTTCGGTAAAAAGTGCCAACTCACACATTCGTCAGTTTCCAGTTGAGTATTCCGAATAGCTAACTGCTCTTCTAAGGCCTGGACTAAGGCGCTAAGTCAGGAACTTCTGAGTTTACTGCAAAGTAACCTCCTAACTAGTTCTAGACTAAGCACGTGGATGCTAAGGCCTTGGCCAAGCAAATCTGAGCAGCCCTGAAACAACCATATTAGAGGTTCGGTCATGAGCTTTCTCCAAGTCCACAAAAATGTAGTATAGAAATAGTATGACAGATGTCCATACACCCTCAAATAATCGTATGAAAGTAAAGACCTGGCCAGTGATCCACAAGTGAAAACCATATTGGTCGTTGTTAATCTAAAGTTAAACTACATGGAAACTGGTGCATTCTGGATTTGACGATGGTCAAGGACTTAGACGTTGATGGTCTGAATCTTGCAACGTTATATCAATGCCTTCATATGTATTTGCTATTTTGGCTATTATCTCGTATTTCGTCGCTTGTTTAGGTATAGGTTTCCTCTTCTTGACTCCCTCTTATACTGACTATTAAATAACTGCTTATTTTACTGGCTGAAGACCGGATAACTGCCAGTTCCATTTACATGTATTATATGTAAATAGAACACCTACTACATGTTCCGGTATTATGTTACGATTGAGCGGTTGGTCAAAAACAGTTGACGTTTTACCATTAGTCCTCAATTATGGTTACTAAAATAAAAACTATGTAAAATGCATATTATGTATGAGGGTTACATATTGTCCCATAATTTTCAGATTCTTGAGAGCAAAGAAATAATGTTTCGTCATTTTGGTAGCTACACATAGTTGGCAGGCTACATAACAACGTGCACAGCTCTCTGGGTAATACGGTAAGAGACGCCGTCCTCCTCCCCCACACACGACCGCAGTTCTTTGCCGGTGAAAGATTGGTCGGGATCGCGGGTGTCATTTGGCGCAGTTTTGAGCTAGAGCATTAACAAAGGGCGTCCGGTTATTTATTTGACGATTTATATTTTAACACTTTTCGCCGTTAATCAGTCACAATGAGCGCAATTAACGTGAAAAAGCTTAAAGTGAACGAGCTGAAGGACGAGCTGAAAAAGCGTAATCTTTCGGACAAGGGGCTGAAGGCCGAGTTGATGGACCGCCTGCAGGCCGCACTGGACGAGGAGGCCCTTGCCGGAGACGCTTCGGTGGGCCAGGAAGCTTCGGCAGACGACGGTTTCGACCAGTCTCTCGACCAAGATGGTATAGGAGAGGAAGAAGAGGGCGATGGCCCTGTCGAGGAAAGCATGGAAGCCAACGAGGAAGAACCAGAAAATGGGGGCGAGAGCAATGTCGTCGCCGAGGATGAAGAGATGGGTGAGGGTGAAGATGAAGGGGACGAAGATGACGAGATGGATCCCATGCTCAAAGGAGACGTAGACGACATGGAGAAAATTGACACAGAGGACGGTGAGCCCGGGGATCAGGCTGCAGAGGGTGAGTCGGCCGAATTGAGTATAAAAATGCGATTGGTTGGATGGACTGTGGCTGGTTGCCGGTTTTTGCTAAAGCGTTAATACAGTCTCGGGAGGGAGATGGAATGACTAAATTTGAATGCGCTACCGTACAGTAGAGTGTCCATGTTGAGCCAGACAACGTGATATAGGCTAGTCAGCGTTAGCTCAAACGGTTAGCAAGTTAGCATCGGTCACCACCTTGGTTAGCTAATCTGTCTGTAAGGATAAGGCCTATAGTGACGTTTGTAAACGATTCTTTCGGAGTTATTAGTTGTCTCGATGGCTAAACGTCCCCTATTACGTTCACATATTATAATTTATGGGGTAATGAATTAGTTATCGACTGAACGCGACGAGCTTTTCGTTTAGTTTCGGTCTGTGTGTTAGCTTGTCAGCTAGCATAATTTTCTTTGTGTCTGATGCAGTGCTAATAGCCGGTTAGCCATTTCAAAGGTTCCCGTCATTTTGCTCTCTCACAAAGTGAGAGCTGTGGCTTAAGTATGAAGGTACCACTTCCGTAAGTTTAAATGTTATAAAGGAAACACAAATTATTTTCAAAGTAAAACGTAATTAAACTTTCAGTTATTATTCAAATATTCTGGTGGGCGCCTTTATTCAAGTCTTATTTTAGCTACCACGTACTGATAGCATACTTATGGACTGTGGTCTACGGTGCTGGAAACTACGAGATTCGTTTTGAAAAAGGGCCGGGAACGTTTGAAGTGGCTAACTATAAAGTGTGCGAAACAAGGGATCAGCGAAGAACTGTTTGTCAAGCTAGCACGTGGATACTATGTCTTCGCTTTCATAGTGAAGATCATATTTAGACCGTACGGATTTATAGGACTTTCCACTCAGGCTTATACACAACAGAAACAGGGGAGGTGATTTAATTTAGTTTTAAGTAGGCTTTCTTGCATGATGCATTTGTCCCTGATAACAGTAGATATGCCCTCTTTGGTAAAATAGACTTTTATTTGAAGCCCATGGAGAACAGTATGCCTTAAGCCCAGTATGTCAGGGATTTTTATCCTTTATCTTTCATAGATGTTTTTCCAGCCCCAGTAAACATTGCTCATAATGTTAATTTTTGGCCAGCCTATGTTGTAATTACTACCTGGTCTCAAGAACTGTAACAAGTCATAAAGTATGATTGTACTGTTTTAAGTGTAACTATGAGGTGTTACCTCCTATATAACTTAACTGATGATTTTGGTCGACACAATGTAACTAATGAACGGGCTTTGTGGGCCAGAACCCCACTGCCAGTCCGACCTCTCTCTCTGTCTCAAAAAGGAGCACCTCATTCTATATCTTTGTTCTATTTTCAAAGGGGATGCGGACAAAGACACGAATGCTGATCAGAAGAATAAGAAGGGTGTTAAGAGACGCCGGGAGGAACATGGAAGGGGCTACTTTGAATTTATTGAAGAGAACAAATACAGCTGGTAAGGATGGGACAGAGCAAAAAATGGCCTTCAGCATCCCTGAAGCGCCATCCATAGCTTTGGTGAATTGTATTGGCTTTAAGTGCCAATGCACACAGCTAGCAAGAGGAAAACCCTCATTTTCAAGTGTTCTCTTATTTATTAATAACATAACTTTCACAAATGTTTTTTGAGGGTCATCCCTGACTACCTAAAGAACCTTACCATTTACCCTTTACAGTTCTCACTCACTTTGTCTTTAAAGGACTGCATTCTGTAGCAGAAGTGCATCTATCAGATCTCCTTATGAATTTTCACATCTGTTCCTCATGCCACTTATTGTTTTGGAAAGCCCGTTGTGTCCTCAAGGTCATTCGAGGCTGCTCTAGGAGAACCCAGAGGAAAGTAGCAGATGAGCACTTTTTTCTTTTCTTTTTCTCAATGGGGGCGGGGTGGGTTTGGGAGGAGTAGCTGAGAGGCGTGGGAGGAGGGGTCCACTGCTGCAATGTAGCAACGTCCACAGAGGAGCTCGCTATTGGTCGTCCATCGTTTTGCCTCGCAATGGTCAATTTAGTTTTTTTTGTTTATTAGTTTCTTTTTTTTCTATTTATTTGCTTTGTTTTGTTTTTATTTACTTTTTATTTCACCGGTTGTACGATGTCCAGATGCTATTTCTGTCTCATCATGTTGTCTGTCTCTGTGAGATTCTGAGTGAGTGTGTACATTTGCAACAGTCTTTTTCTACCCCCTGCGACGGCGACATCCCGCATGGCATGCACGGAATTTCGAGTGTGTGCGTGTACACCTACCTACCTATGTGTAAATGTTTTGTTTTCATGGCACTATTGGCACACCGACAAAGAAAATGGAATGGAAGTGCCACTCAAGAATTGTTCTTTTTCTCTTTTTTCTCCCCTCGCACCTGCATATATTTCTTTTTATCGCAATTTGAAATGAACGACTATTGTTCAGGGCTGTTCCTTACTCGGAACACGGTGACATTGACAGCCTCTTTTTGGGTCCTATCCTATAAACCTATGGCTTACAATTAAATCTTTGCCCAAATTTTATTATATATATATTTTTTTGTATTTTATTTTTGCTCCTGCAATCTCCTATAACATCACATGTATTAAAAAATTGTTTCAGTTGGTGGGCTACACCACTTTAATTATATGTACAGCCTTTGTACAAACCTACCATAACCTATTAATGTGATGTTAATCATCATTTAAATGTTCAGCTTCCTTTAAAAAGAACGGAAATTGAGACTTCTTCCGATTCTATCAAAAAAGAACACATGTTCCTATTGTCGAGCTACAGAGCTGGTAAGTTGCTGTAGTTTTTAGTCTACTGCAATTGCATATTTTGAACCAGTTAAGAGTGGTGGCATCATTTCCAGTTTGGTTACACACAGCAAATGAGCTCTGACCTTTCCATCTGGAGTCCCACATGTAGAAAGTTAAATATAACTCCCCCCACCACTGCTGCAACTGACCCTGCAGCGAAGATGCCACTCTGAAAGGGCAGAGGTCTGCAATGAGTTTATCACTCTGACCAACGGAATGCCTTGTTGCACTAAAGGCGAGAAGAGGTGGTGCTTTTTTTTCCCCCCTTTCTTTTTTTGTGTATCTTTCACGTTTTAGATTTCGCTGGATGCTGTGAGGTAAGTACCTGCCAGGCCAGCCGACTGCCCCAAAAGTTTGGAGGCTCGCCTGGCCGAGTTCATGTTTTGTTTTACTTTTTTCTGTCTTAAAAGGTGTTTTTATTTATTTAATTTTTTACTATGTCCCACCTTATTGTCTGTCTTCCCACTTCTTTCCCCAGTATTTACCAGTGGTCCCTAGAACATCTAAATGTTCCATGTAGAAGCAGTCGCACGTGAATCTTCTAATTTATTTGTCCGTGTCTCTCTTCAGTGCCTCTTTTAAGTCTCCTGTGCCCCCACTGGAGGAAGAGGATGAAGAGTTTGATGACACCAAGGTCTGCTTGGACACCTGTAAGTGTCGGGTTAAAATGCCAATCGCATTTCTTCTGTTTATCCCTGGAGGCTCATGTGTTTTTGCGACTGGTTTTGTGTCACAGACAACAGCGACCTGCACTTTAAGGTGTCGCGGGATCGCTACAGCGCTTCATCCCTCACAATGGAGAGTTTTGCTTATCTCTGGTCCGGAGGCAAAGCCACATATGGCGTGAAGCAAGGAAAAGCCTGCTTTGAGATGAAGGTACAATGCTGGCAAATTATGTCCAGTCTAAATCCCAGACCGTGTACAATGTTGTGTGTGTGTCTATATGGGCATTCCACGTGAAGTTTGGTAGCCAATGTTAACATTTTTACTCTGGTTGGAATTGCAGATCACAGAGAAGATTCCTGTCAAGCACATTTCAAGCAAGAACATGGACATTCACGATGTGCAGGTCGGGTGGTCCCTGGCAACTGGCACCCTTCTCCTCGGTCAGTGTGGTTGCTTTTTTTGAACTCCTTAAACTTTATATCGTTATTCCATACATATTAAGTCGTATAATTTATTCCTAGCACAATTGGTCAGACAACTCAAGCAGGATGTGATGGGTTTGAATGAGAAAGAACATTGTTAGAATCCATTGACATGCTCTAACATGGTCTGTCTCCCTCTAGTGGCAATAGGGCAGTATAACACCTTGATGTAAAATGGCTTCAGCCCATGCTTTGTGTCAGTGTGGATGATTCATGCTGCGGCTACAAAGTGCCCATTGTCTAAATTTTGGAGCCTTGGTTCATGATCATACGTTTTACTTGGTCCCATGTGTATATTTAGGCGAGGAGGAGTTTTCCTATGCCTACTCTGGGAAAGGCAAGAAGACGACCAACTGCGTGACGGAGGACTTTGGAGAAACTTACGAGGAGAATGATGTCATCTGCTGCCTTATTGTAAGCATCCATTAGCTAGATAGGCTTTTTTTTGTTTTTGTCTCCATGGATACATTTTCTGGTTTCATTGTCGTCTGCTACATATGGCGTTCACATTTTTGTATTTGTATAATTACTTTTGATCATTTCAGGACTTTGAGGGCGACGAAGTGGTGCTGTCCTACTCCAAGAATGGTGGAGAGCCAGCAGTGGCCTTCCAGGTCTGCAAGGACTCCCTAAATGGCCAGGCCCTTTTCCCCCACGTCATCTGCCACAACTGTGCTGTGGAGTTCAACTTTGGCCAAATGGAGACTCCGTACTTCCCCCAGCCTCAGGACTACACCTTCCTGCAGCAGATCCCCGTCAGCGAGCGGATCCGGGGGGTGAAGGGCCCTCAGACTAAGGCTGACTGCGAGGTAAGCACGTTTTAAGCTCGTTTTTCAGTTTATTTGGTGCCATCATGCACTTTTGTAGTCACAGGGCTATAGTTTTGGTTCCTGAGAGAGCTGTTATCTGACCTACATGTCGTGCCGTGTAGATCATCGTGATGGTTGGTCTGCCCGGATCAGGGAAGACTACCTGGGTGAAGAACCACGTCCAAGATAACCCTGGGAAGTACTACATCCTGGGCAGCGACACCATTGTGGAAAAGATGATGGTCAGTATCGGCCCTGGCTCCGGAAATGACCCGCCACTCCAGTCCCGCTTTTTTAAACCTCTTTTCATTCAACGCAGATCAACAGCCTGAAACGCCAGTCGAAGGACATAACGAAACTGACAGCCATCTCCCAGAGGGCGCCCCTTTTCTTGGGGAAGTTCATCGAAATCGCTGCCCGCAAGAAAAGAAACTACATCCTGGACCACGTACGCTTCTATCTGCCTCGGTTCATCGTTCACTGTTGTGGTGTGAGTGTAAATGAAAACCCTCTCGTTTCCAGACTAACCTGTCTGCACCTGGCCAGAAAAGGAAGATGTGTTTGTTTGCCGGCTTCCAACGCAAGGCGGTCGTGGTCTGTCCGACCGACGACGACTACAAGCAGAGAGTCCAGAAGAAGGTTGAGAGCGACGGGAAGGAGGTGCCTGAGCATGCTTTGCTCAAAATGAAAGGTACAGCGCTTTCTTTTCTTAGCACTTGGGACTCCTTATGTTTTTTTAATGTTTGACCTTTTTATCTTTAATCATGTTCTATTTTTATTTCCTGTATATTCAGGCTTCTTCTCTCTGCCCGAGGAGGGGGAAAGCTTTAGTGAAATCCTGTTCGCCGAGCTGGTAAAGGACGACGCCGCCAAGCTGCTGGAGCAGTACAAAGAGGAGAGCAAGTCGGCTCTGCCAGCCGAGAAGAAACCCAACCAGGGCAGCACCACCCCCAAGAGAGGGGGCGGGTCCCGGGGCGGCAGCCGCGGAGGCAAGAACCAGTTTGGCCGCGGCGGGCCTGGACAGAGGGGCGGTGGGCGTGGAGGCTTCCAGAACAGGGGGAACTTCAGAGGAGGTAGGAACTGCAATCAGAAAATAAATAAAGAAATTAAACCGCTTCAGGTGTTCTTGGCAAAGTTTTTAAAGCTGTTAAAAGTACCTGCCCAGCTCAAAATGACCTCTCTGATCAACCCCACAGCTCCAGGGCCCCGCGGTGGCTTCAGCCGCCCCCCCCGCGGCTTCCTGCCCCCCCCGGCCTTCAGGGGAGGGTACCCCAGCCGTGGTAACTTCAGCCGAGGCGGGGGACACATTCCCAGCCTGGGAGGGTCCCCGAGGGGTGGACCAGTGAGAGGCAACATGGGACACAGGGGTGGGCCCATGAATAGAGGGGGCCCCATGAACAGAGGGAACATGAGCAGAGGAGGCGGCGGCGGAATGGGCCGCGGAGGAAACCGGGGACATCCCGGCCAGGTGGGTCTCATGTCAAGGAATATGTAAATATGTTGTTGTTAGACATGTATTTGGTTTATACACCACCATAAAATCTCCCCAGATCTTCCCTTTACTATGACCCCTTTCTTATGATGTATTAAATGATCAGTTTTGTTGGCTTTTTCCTTCTTTTTAATGGTAAACTTGTTGCCAGCAAGTGCCTGTTATGATCTAAAATGTCAGTTTAGTCAGGATATTGTTTTAAAACAAGGTGATCATACAATTTTTTGCTAGTAAACTTTCTTCAAGCTCATTAAGACAAATGTTGCACTCATGTTTTAAGTCTTTGGAAGGAGAAACCTGATTTATATTCAGTTAAGCCTCGTTTTATGTTAAAAATAGCCGGAATTATGACTCATTTGAGGCAATTATCACAGAGGGGTGTATGTAAAAGTTAAGCCGGAAAATCTATTTTAACCCAATTGCCAACAGAAAGAACCTTCCGTGTAATATTTGGCGGAAAACCAGAGTTATGGCTTAAGGAATTGGGAACCGGGTAAAAGATTATCCAAATCCAAACCCTTGTTTTTCGGCTCAAGTTTCAGCAGAGAGGCGGCGGCCGCGGTAACTTCGGCAACAAGAACAGCGGGAACTTTGGCAACAACAGGAACAGCGGGAACTTTGGCAACAGGAACGGCATGGACAAAGCTCAGGCCTTCAACCAGAGCTGGCAGCAAGGGGTCAGTATTTCCGCTGTTTGGTTTTGCCACAGTACAGAAGAAAAGTAAATGCGTTGAATGTCGGAAAGCTTTTGCGCTCGTTTCACGTTGCCTTTTTGTTGCCGCAGTTCTGGAACCAGAAGCCCTGGAGCCAGCAGTACCAGCCTGGATATTACTAAGACACTTGTTCTAATGGACTGGGGGCCTTCAACCAGGACCCACCGCAAGCCACGGAGCATCCCTCCACCCTGCTGTTTGAGTTTGTTTCCTTAGAACCCACTTTTAATGATCTGTAAACCCACCGAGTGACGAGCGGGACAGGAGCGACATGGAGCAACAACATTCCATCAGAGGAGACCAGGCCCCACTTGTAATCCAAGCTTTATATAGTAAATCCATTTACACCCGAGCAGCGTGGGTTAGGTCTTGTTCAGTTTCCTTCTTTGTTTTTCTTGTTGTATATTTCAAATATTTTTCAACCACTTTTAAATGACATGCTTTTAAAAGGAAAAAATCTAAAGTTTGTAATATCAGAAGCAAGAAAGTTGCCATTAACAAAGGCAATTTAGTTTCGTTTTGTTGGGTTTTTTTTGTTTATCTGGGTTGAGTATTTTTATCTGTGCTGTTTTTTTTTTTACTTTTTTTTTTTTTTTTTTACAAATTGTAAATATATTTTTTGCGTAGTTTGTCAGAAGTCTAAGGATCGTAATGGTTGAGAAGACCCCCAGCTCTTCGCAAGACAAGCATGATAGATTTATACTGTTAGACTTGAGTCAATAGCCTGCTGTCAAACAGTTAACTAAAAATCGAGCATCGGATAAATTACAGCAAGTTTTCTTTATTTTACATTTCTCTTTTATTTGTTCCCAACATCCAACCTGTAACAACCTTCATAGACCTACAATAAACAACTTGTTTGCTTTTTTACATTCTTCCTGGCTTATGACTTTTGATTTAGTTCAAAGGTGTGTAAAAGACCTTTGAATTGGCGACGTCGGCCTGGTTAATACTATGAGGGCTTTTGTTCTGCTCCAAGCTCCAACAGGCACCTCATTAGCTACATATCCTCTTTTGAGCGTCTTGTTTTGTACGCCGTTCCTCGTGCTTTAGCTGTTGAGTGTTATCGCTTTGAGAATACGTGTTGGCTGAGCCGTCTTCAGGGTAGAAATAAGCCATTTTCTGTCGTCCGGTGATGTTTTTTTTTTTGGATTGCCTATCATTTATTTTCTGATCAGAGCACTGGCTCTGCTTCATTCTCAGGAGAACTTATTTTTCTTTTCTTTTTAGCAACGGTTCCGTTAATGCAGTAGGCTTCTAATACTGACCAGTCAAAACACTGACTCATATAAATGTCTAACCCCCTTTTTTTTTTCTTTACTCATATTCTGAACAAATCGACTTAATGAAGTTGATTCAGCACAAGAACGAAAGCGAGTTGGATAGCTCATATTCACCAGCAACTCAAAGGGCTGCCCAGCAACGCAACACGTACGATTTCAGACTCGACCAGATATTGGTCGAAGGCCCTCTTCGGAGGGGTTTCGCGTTGGTTGGCTGTGTGGCCCAGAAATGACGGCAGCTCCCCACCAAACAACTCAGTTTACAGGCAGTTTAGGCATGACCGTTTATCATAGAGCAGAGTCATTTGTGTGTTTTTTTTTTTACTTTTTACTCTCTTGTTATTTAAGAATTGTAAATACTAATAACGGCGCTACTTGAGTCATGCATGAATGTTTCTTTAAGGAACTCGGTGATAACTGTTGTAGTTCTGAAAGTGTCGGTTTGCTGGCGTACTGCAGTGTGATGAACTGTCCGATCCATGTAAATATCTGGAGAGTTTGTGCCCTCCCTTTTTACTGTTCCGGTTACATAGATTTATCAGAATGCGAGCTTTGAGTTTAATCTATAACACAAGACCCCTATATTTTTATCACTTTGTGTTGCAAGCTGTACATCAGGTCTTATCATGGAACCCAACACTGCAAAGGCTTTGAAACCATTTAAGTTTCTTGTCTTTTCTATCTGACCGTTTTTAATATTTGTGTTAAAGAAATGCAGTTGTACCTTCTTTTTTTGTCTCCATTAAACTTTTAAAAGTTGGTATATGGTGATTATGTTTTTCATTTGTTAATCACACAAATGTGCTATTCTTAATTCAAATTTTTAGCCATAACTATTGTTGGCTTTAGACTCAAGCCGACTGTCCTCAACTCCTATCTCCATCAAGATTTTACCCGTATTTAAGTTTTCATTTGGTCTCATATTTGTAAAGACTCAGGTTTTCTTGCATCCCATAGTAATGTCATGTTCTTACTGCCTAGCCATTATTATCATTTGATCTACAGAGCTTAGAAAAATTGCACCTTTTGAAAATATGAGATGTTAACAATACCAGAAGGATCCTTAAAAATGATATACATATAGGACATTATATATGACTTTTCTAACCAAAAGCATCTAATCTCTTAATAATTCCTTATGTAAACAAATGTGCCAAATAGTGATTTAATTAAAGTTATTTAGCACTAGCACTATTGAAACAATCAAAGAACACATGAACACTAGCTGGCTCGTAGTTCTTTATGATTTTTTTTTTGTTTGTTTTTCTTGCTTTGCTTTATTTAGGCCAGCTGCTACATGCTTTTAGGAAAATCCTTCAGTTCCATCCCCAGTTACTTTGAATCATCACTGGCAGCAACTGTGTTATTTACACCTCTGATTAATATTTAGTGGTGTTTAAACTATATTTCTGATTGGGTTTTACACAGGTCCAAAAGACACTGACCAACTACATGTTCAGAGTAAACATGTTTAAACTTAATGCCGTCAGCATACTTGGAAAAAACCTGTTTGTGGAGGCAAATGAAAGACATATAAGATTGTGGAAAATACAACTAACACATTTATGGGAGATCATACAATTATATAATTTGTTGACAAGTAAGGGTGTCAGAATTGGGTATAAAAGGAAATTCCATTAAATCTTTTACTTCCTAAACGCCATGGTTCACGCCAAGAGGGATTTCCAGATTCTCTTTGAGGAACCTCAAATTGAGTTCACATGTGTAAATTCCAGTTTCACATGTGTTTGAATTTGAAATACAAGAGAACATCCCCCTTTCTGCACAGAGCAACCTAAAAAAAAGCATTTTCTTCGATATAAGATATATATGACAATAGAAATAGAAAATAACTGTGAACTGTTGAGCAACAGTTTCTTACTTAGCCAAAATGGACGTAGATACCTTTTGAGAAATGCCCCCAAATCACCTAAATGAGACGGTAATGAACATTCCCCTATTTCCACTTTCATTCTGTGGGCTGTTAGAATCAAATGTTTAGCTGTTTATATTTTATAAAAGCTATTAAGTTGGTAAGTTAAAGATTTCTCCAAAAGTTAACATTATTTTTCTATGTTCTAGACAGCTTCCCTTTATTTTTCACGACAAATACAAAAAAAAAATGTTTGTAAGTGTCTCAGAAATGTCTTTTATACCATTATTTATAGCCAATCCAGTGGTTGGTTTTTAGATGGTAATGTATCTGTGTATGACAGGAGGTTATTTTGCTCCCAGACAGCTGATTGTCTTTGGCAGGCCGGCTTGTTTACTCTCATCGGAAGCATATTAGTAAATGACAAGACCTCCCATGCTGACTGCAAACAATGCATTAGGTATTGACTCTGATTACCAATGTTTGACCCGCTAAGCTTGATGTAAACGCGTGAGGAGCCCAGCTTCATGTAAATTGTGAAGTTTCTTTTGTTTGCTCGCCCGTGTAGCTCCTTCCCACTGTAAATACAGCACCGCAAGCAAGTTTGACCATCATTATCAATGCCCATACAGCTTCAGTCAAACAAGTGCCAGAAGTCATTAGGGAGATTATTTGCTCTGCTTTACAATTTCCTATGAGGGTAAATAGTGAGGTGAAAGACAGCAGACAGCTGCATGCGAATGTGATCATGAATGTGAATGGAGCCAAACGGGCTCTGCCCACTTTTGGGGAGAGTAATGGAAAAAAAAAAAACATATGTGAAACAAAATATTTTATTTTCCAAACATAAATTCCTTCATATTATGTACAGCATGAAAAATAGTGGACACCTCAGACAGAATTTGAATGATTGACTCACTCAAATGATGAAAAAGCATATAAAAAAAACATATAAAGTGCTTAATGACAGTAGTACTGCCTGCTGTATGTGATTCTCCTGCTTAATGTTCATTTTAAATAGTAATAAAGTACTCAACAAGTTGTATAAAAACATTAAATATATATGGATACCTAGTTGGAACAAAGGGACTATATCACTCTAATATTTCCACAACATGGGATTATTTTTTTGACTTGTTTCCAATGACTTCATACAATGGAGACATTGTCCAGCGTGCATGCACACCTTTCGACAATCATGTTGGGAAATTCAGCCACCTCAATCTCAGTGTAGTCCCCCTTCTTTACCAGGTACATGATGGGCAAAGGGGCACTCTCAGACACTGTGCACCGCCTTTCCCCGTACCCGTAGTTGCGTTTGGGCTGCTTGCAGCCCCCGGTGCACCGGAAGGCCTGATAGCCCGCCGGCTCGATGATCCAGTACTGCGTCCAGGTGAGGGCGCGGAAGTCGATGAAGTACTGCTCCCTGCAGCAGGTGTCTTTGTTTTGGTTCACGTCGCAGTCTCCACGGGACCTGAGGAGGAAAATTATGAAGAGAATTAGTTGACTATGAACACAGATTTTTTTTTCAAAGGTGGGGTGGATGGCATAAAGAGTCAATGGGCCTCAAATTTCTAAACCCTGTAATGCCAAATGTATCCTATTTGATTAGTACAGGTTCTGAAATGTTTTGCATCTGACACCTTTTGCATGATTTAATGGTGAAAAACTTTGCTCAAAATCCTATTTTACACAATCAGATACACCTGATAACAGGGGGCAGAAGACTACACAAAAAACAATCTTGACTTATCGCATAGTAATAAATTATTGATAATAAACATTTATTTTTGTTTTTTTTTAACATATTTTGTTAAAAGGTCAAATAAAGAATTAAAACAAAAAAAAAGTAATTTTCTGTTTTGTTTTATTCTTGGATCAGGCTTTAAAGGGTTAAATAAGCCCATGTTTGAAAATAGAGTGTGAATATACTTTTTCTCTTAAACATTACAAAACATAAAAAAATAGCATTTCCAGATATTTTTATTCCAAAACCTCCTTTTTATATTCTTATATCTTATCTAAAAAAACAGCAATTAGTGGATCTACCGCCTCCCAGCCACTTAGCTACAGACATCTCAATAAAGGCGAACGTTGACAGACAGAAAGCTTGCACCCTTACCCATACTCCTCGAGGTTGAGTGTGTAGAGGATCAGTTCAGGTTTTCCCAAGGTGTTGCCCGTCTGCTCCTGGGTGGTAAAGCGCACACTTTTGGCCGCCTCTGCCGCATAGCTGCCAGGTCTCTCGCCCTCGATCCACACCTCCAGGTGCATAGGTGTTTTCTGCTGAGTCTTGGACCAATAATGTACCGCCTGGGTGACATCAAAGCTCTTCCAGCCGGTTTCGTGAATGGGTACCAGACTGTGAACATGATAAGGACGATTAATTAAAATTGTACGCAGCTGACACATCCGGCGCAAAAAAGAAAACCGGGTTTTTTTTTTATTACAAGAAGGAGGAGTGGTAAATAAAACCTTACCGTGAATCCACGAGGGATGTCCGGTTGGAGCCATCAGAGAGCAGCTCCACCCAGTAGACGCTGACCCTGGCATTGTTGACGGGTCGGTGGCTCTTCCTGTCCACCGCGAAGCGCTTGTGGTAGGAAGCCCTTTGGTACAGCTTCAGCTCCGCCATGGTCACCTCACTGTTATCCGGGATCCTGGTGTCCATATCGAACACCATGCGATGCCGAGTTGTGTCAGAGTACACGTACTCCCCGGATATGTCTACAACACAAACATTTTAAGCGTTAAAACCCTTTTCCAATCGTGTTTTCAGCCCATTTCCCCAAAAAAATTGGTGCGTAAAAATGTATTTGCACCCCAAGTGTCACAGTTACGCATGCAAATATCGATCCAGGTCAAATTTTAGCCTAATCAAAATCATTTTAACAAGATTTAATACGTATTGCTTGTTGGATCATTTCATTTTTTTTCAATAATAAAAAAATGTTGGTGCGTAAAAATGTATTTGCGCCCCAAATGTCACAGTTACGCATGCGAATATCGATCCAGATCAGATTTTAGCCTAATCAAAATTTTAACAAGATTTAATACGTATTGCTTGTTGGATCATTTCGCTTTTGTTTAAATAATAAAGAAATCTACCTGCATTGCCGGGGATTCCCCTCAGAATTCCTGCCAGACTGGGCAAAGATCGACGCCGCCTGCTGTGGTGCATCTTCAGCATGGACAAATACTTGTTTCTGACGTGCGCCGGAATAACCAGGTTCTCCAAGTCTCTCTTGTGGATCTTAGGAACTTCATCCAACCCAAGTTTCTGCAGCAGTGCGTCCCTCATATCCTGATGCGTAAAGGCCCTCGCCAGGCCGAGGAGCGAGGCGCACAGGACACAGGCGCGAAGGAAATCCATGAGGGAGAAAAAAAATGTCAGTGGAACAAGACAGCGGTACGGTTGCACGAGTCACTCAAAGATACACAGCGTCCTCCTGACACTCCTCTGGCCCCCTTATATTGTTGCGGCCCTCCCAGCCGTTCGCACTTTGTCGATGGGGGCAGGGACCCTTATCAGAACAAAGGTGCGACGATACGGTCCCCTTCCTAAACAGGATATCTAAGTGGCTATACTTCAAACAGCAACAATTAGACTCGAGTGCCATCCGTATTGTAAAGGTGTAATTTCGCCATAGTTGCACTATAAGCATGTTTGATGTTTCTTTGGATTAGTTTGCCTTTGATGCTATTTGAGAAGAAGAAAAAACGACTTGCCATTGGCCAGTAAATCATATGGAAATATTCGCAAACTCTCTATACATTTTTCATCAAATTCTTAAGTATTTGCATGACTGTTTTTGAAGGATAAGTGTTTAAAAAAGATTGAATTCGTGTGACTATTTCTCTGGCTGTTTGTCTCTGCCAAAAGAAGAATATACAAAAAGAGATATGCAGGCAGATGATTTTTATAGTAAATGTGAGAAATGTTCATTCTTGGAGAATGATTTTGCTTAACATTTAGTCACTGAAAGTGAAATCAACCATCTCATAAAGCCATTGGGCATTCTGAGATGCAGTCACTTGATTTATTCAGACTGAGTGCAACAAAAAGCCAAGTCATCTTCTTATCTGGACTTTTTGATTTCTCCTAAATTAGTCTGCCGTCCTCCACTTGTGTGTTCCCTGCTGCGACAAATGTGAGTCCCAGACAGACATCTCTTGACCCTGTGAACCTGTAGTGCCCTCTTCTCAGTAGCACCCTTGTCTACACACAGCCCCACACTCCTGATGTGTACATTCCACTGAACGATGTCAGGCAGGGCCAGTCTGGCAAGAGTCTGTCACACACTGGTCTTATTTCTGTCTGGGTCGGCTGAGGAAGCTAATTAATACGTCCAGCAAAGGCAAGACTGGACGTTGGGGGCAAGAAAGCGACAATTTGTTCACTGCGGTAACATTTTTAACTTTGGAAGGGCCTGGGGGAAGTATTACAGGGCTTTTAGAAAGGGGGTAGACCTGAGGATTAAATGTTGATTCCATGCTCTGGCACCCATTCCTGGCCAGCTCCAGCAGATTAAAATTATTAGCCAAACAGACAGTTAATCCAGGGGCCCGGCGCGGATGTGGATTGGGGCAGGCTCTTCGCAGGTTGGTGATTATCTGATTCCATTGCGAGGATTTGCCTTGCCTTTTTTGTCACACAAACATTAGAAGCGGGGTGCTCTCGCTGGCTGCCCAGAAAGTCAGGCCCCTGGTTGTGTATTGGGCCGTGTTTGCTTAGAGATGTCAGACAGGCTGAAGGGGCACACAGGAAGAACAAATGACAGATGACTGCCAGACCCGCTCTCCCCAGCGAGCGCCTGTGGGCTTGCCAACAAGACAAATTAGAAATTACAACACGAGAGCTGATAGCAGACCTCATCGCCCACCGGGAGATATAAAAAAGTAATAATCTCAAAGGCCAAAAAACCCATAAGAGTTAAGAATATTGTCCTTATTGCATGTGCAGAAAGATGACTTGTATGAGCGTTTACAGTTCTAGTGCGTAGGGCTGTTGCATTTGGGGTTTAACCCAGTTTCTAGCACCTAAAAATGCATATCCAGATAAGATTTAATCCCCCAAAAATATTGGTATGATTCAAAACCCTAATTAAGTTCATATTGGTCCAAATTCCAATTCATTTTGTCACAAAGTTTGAAAATGTGTCTCCATGTATTGAAATTAAATTTCTCAGTTCATTTTATTAGTTTAATTAAAGGCAGTTGTGCTCATTAATTAAGCCCTGGTTAAAAGAGAATGTAATACAATGCATTGTATTCTCTGTGAGATGAGGAGTTCTGAAGGATCAACTGCACTACAAGATGTCAGAATAATTGATTTCTTCTAAAACTTTCCATTTTTATTAATGAGACATCCGCATGCAGACAGCAAGAGTACGCAGTACAAATACACAGCCGTCTTCCTCAGAGCCGATAGATGAGGTCCAAACTGTTCAATAAGGATGTCTGAAGTAAGGATCATCAGTGCAGACATGTAAATTCAGAACAGGCCCCATTGTCCAGTCCAGCCAAAGGCCGGTCTAAGTGATTGCAATCCCAAAATACACAGGCCTATGTCATTGCCTGTCCCTCACATTACAGCCCCTAATTCGGGAAATTAAGATGCCTTTTGTGTGATATTTCTCAGTCTTTCTTCCTTCCCCATGCCAATCAAAGATGGGTTGCCGAGTTCAAAGCTTCATCTGATGCACCGAGGTGCCATTTCTTTTCAATCAAAGGCCAACGAGCTCCCACAATCAACAACGCAAGTGTTAATTAACATCCATGCATTTGCATTCAAAAGCGGTCCAATTTATAGGTCATTCCCTTCCATTTGTGAAACATGCGATCCCCCTTTGGCTGCAGAGAGCGCTGTTTGTTAACGCACACATACCCAAAAAATTCCCGTGTGTTTTTTTAGACAAATATTACAGCGGGGAAGAAGAATCTGGAAGCAGAAGCTGCAGTCTGCCTTTCACCCCTCGTTTCTTTCTTATGTAGTACGCGCATTATGCCAGAGCATCTCATTACAGACGTCTCCATGGAAACGAGTCGAAACTGCGGCATGCTCCAAAAAGTAAATATTGAACTTGTGTTGGTGGTCAACTCAAATTCCTCATTATTCACATTGTCACCCACTTCCTGACTCGCCATTGCCTTCTTTATCTTAACATCAAATATTTGGCGGCGGGATGAACCGCTATTTTGCACCTTAATGCCCCATGCAGAATCTCTTGTTTCTGTTTCTTTTCTTTTCTTTTCTCTTTTTTTTTTGGCAGACTAGAGGGATGCGCTTTGCGTCTGGATCAGATCCATCGAGCAGACTGCCAATACTCATTAATCTGTCTGTGGGACGGAGAAAGCGCCAGACCTGTGCACGGGACAATAGCCTTACTATGATTTCCTCCACATCTAGACAAAGTCTAAGGACAGTCTAATTGCATTTCACGCAACTAATGACGGCTCAATTAGTGCAGAGACGTGGGCCTTGAATTGAATCTCTGTTCAGACTTAACCCAATAGGATCATACATGATTAGTCAGGACAACCGGAATTTTAGAAATTATTATTTATAAATTAATATCTACATAATGGTTGGAAAGGGTTTTTAATTGTGCGGGATTGGGTCGGAAAGATGATTTTTTCCACAAACATCTGCCATAATCATGCAAGTCAGAATCTATATTTAAAAAATATACAATATAAAACACCTTAAATGTGCCAGTTGATCTTAAAGAAAAATAAACTAAATAAATCTGACAAATCGTTGTAAGAAAGTGTTTTGTACACTAGAGGGCGCTGTCGTAGTGCACAAAAAACAGCAAGTGTTTCACAGAGAAACTCCATTCTGAGCACAAAGAATAGCTTTATTTTCGGTAGATTACATTTATAGTGTGAAGTCGTTTTTTCTCAAACAGGACATCGAACATACCACTACTGGATACCAACATATACACTTGCTTTTCCTTTCTTTCTTTGTTGCTGGCTGCAAAATATGTGAGAATGATTAAATAACACAGACGAGGCCTAGCTCATTGCTGTCTGTCTGCTGTCACATCTAGGATAACCCTGATTTGGATGAAGCATGTATAGAAAATGGATGGTCACTAGAAATATAGAATAAAATAAAAGGTCGGATGGAGGGTTCATTGTGTTGCCCCCAAATGTGAAAATCAGTCGTTTTAGATAACTATGGGAAAAAAAAAATATAACCTGCTGTCCAGAGGACATGTCTGGCTTGGTGAAACATGCAAAATTTAAAGAAAATGTTTAAACTTAATGTACATAAATGAAACGATGAACAGTTATCACAATTAATTTGATCATTTGTATGACTGGATCTAAAAAGAGCCTTTTATCTGAAGAAGCTCATGTATGAGCAGAAATCATGGGAAGGGAAAGTCACATGCTTTAAGAAATCAAGAACAAATTAAAACGATTCACAATATTTGGAGAATTCTCTCAGGTAAATGCATGACAATAAGCTGGAAACCAGTACAAATCGATTATAAGCCCCATGGTCAGCACTACACAACACACTTCCCAACAGGACACATGGCTGCACAAAATATGATTGGGCAACATTTCCAGGTCTGCAGGATGATCTGACTGAGGTTTTGCAGTCTCTTAATGTTAACTACTTTTGGAAATCATGGATGTTGCCAACCCCAAGCCAATCATTAGACAAGTAATCAACACAAAGGTTACTCAAAAACTGGGGTGTGTAAGTTTAAAACACAAGGGCAAAGAGCACATCTCTGACTGATCCATTATTGCTTAATGATATAAGTTATGCTGCCAACAAGATACCAAGCAGAGGATGTATTTTCAGGGCTGGTCTTGCATTCTGAAAGTACAATGCTGTGCAAAAATCTATAATCAGACCATGTTTCTTTACACTTTGATTCCAATAAGCCAGATTTTTTAGTCCTTTCACAGGGCCTCAAGACATCGTTTTCAAGGCTTTCTATGTTTAAAAAATAAATAAATCTTTATTTGAACATTTGGATGCTTTTTCTTTTTTTCCAGTCTGGTTTTCAGGACTTTTTAAGTAACTTACCACTTAGCTATGAGTTCGTCAAGTATAAAAATACAAAGGACGAACTGGTGTTGCATGACCAAACGTGACACCTTAGCAGATAACCAGTTTCAAACTCAACAATAACCTCTGTTACTTTAAACCTGCCAGAAAAAAACATTTCAATTTTAATCATTCCTTTGGTTGCACATTTAAAAACTGTGAACAATTACTGTCTAACATCTTAGTATTTCTCCCCCAAAGAGGTCGCTTTAGAGCTCTTTGAAGACAACTAAGAGTATTTGAACAAATGTTAACTTTTTCAAGAGAATGGACAGGTTGTCTACAAAAGAAAAACTGATAAGCCTTCCATACTATACCCAACTTTTGAATTTATGTTCCAATTAAACAGAAGAAAAAAAATCCAACATACATGACCTGAGAGAGACATTTGTCCTCTCAGCTCAACAAAGCCAAATTAGAAGTGGCCTCTTTGCTCTTACAGTTGTCAAATACCTATCAAAATCCTGGGGTGTGCTGACTCAGCCACAATTAAACTAACAATTGGGAGTTACAGGGATTATGGAGTAGTGAGTCCCTCCAAGAGCTCAGTCTTCAATATTATTGAGGCTGTGTGGGATAATCTTAACAGAAAGTGAATCAAAAAGGTAACATCCAATAAAAACCTTTGAATGGCCCCTCAGAATCTCAGAGAACATTTTATAAATACAATGACTAGAAATGAAAGAAAATCAACTGTCAAAGTTATATCAATTATTGACTTTAAAGCTCATTAAACAAGTTTTTCTCTTTTAAGCTGTATTTGCTGTCTTTCTATGTCTACATCAGTAATTAAAATACTTTTTACATCCATATGAAAAAAACCTAAAGAAAATCTAAGTGTTTTTCCATTGCCAATGAAACCTGTTTCTGCAGTGTCATACGCACACTAGAAAGAATAATAAATGTTGGGAAATGTGTCCTCATTTTCATTTTTGTTATTATGTTGCTATGTGATGTTGCTCATGCGCTTTTAAAGAAGAAACATTTATACCCTCTAAGGATTACTCATCTTAAAAAAAAAAGAAAAAACATTACTCATAGTGGAGTAAATTAACAGTTGTTGTGTTGTTTCTGGTAAAGTCAGGGCAAATGGCCACCCTTGAAGTATTTTTGCAATAAGTGCATATCTTGCATTCCTTTTTTTTGTGTGCACCTTTTTCCCCGTTTCTATCGTCGCTCTGGAACCAAAGGAGACCGACTCAGGAGTCACTTTATCTCTCACTTTCTGATTCACACAAATCAGATGATGAGTTGACGCACAAAAACATACAGGGTTATGTGCGACTCCCAACCCCCAGAGATGGGCCATTAATCAATAACAGATGTACTTTGAGCACTGATAAGAAGTTCACTTCAAAAGGATCAAGCTTTTCTTTACTAGCAAAAAAAAGGATCTTTTGAACAGCATGCTCTTCAGTGTAATAAATGCCATAAAAATATTCTTATATAAAAAAAAGTGTAACAAAGGTTTGAGGTCAACAAAACAGATGCATGTGTTTTGTTTAACCTGGCAAAGTCTATTTATGGGATCTCTTAAAGGTACTTTGTTAATGGAAAACACCTTCTGTGGCTCAAAGAGTCCCATATTTCTCTAAGTCTAAGAGAATAAAACTAACTGACAACTGACACACTTCTGAATGAAAATCCTGAGCAGTCGTAATTATCGGGATAGTAATAATGGTGGTTTGATTTGCAAGTGCTCACATTTGCATGTCTGCACTAGGCAAGCGGCTATCAACGGGACATTATTTCAATATCTATCAGATCTTGACGCAAGACACGCCACCGCGTACGCAGATCCTCCGTAAATGTGGCGTTTAGTGGCCCGTTAAAGCAAGAAGAGGGATTCCAATCAGTCAGAAGGAAAATGTGTCCTCTAAGCAGCAGCAGGCAGGCAGACAGACAGCCCGCAGTTTCCATTCACAATATTGACAGCCCCCACCATTGCCAACCACCCCTCCACCTCCTTACAGCAGATGCTATGACGGGCGCCATGATGATGATCTGGGATTTTGCCTGCAGCGGCACCCAGAGATGCTACAACGCGAGAAGATGTCTCACTAACCGCGAGGATGAAGTCGACAAGCGCTTGCCGAGGCACGGGTAAAGATGGCGCTCACGCATGCGCGGAAGAGGATTCCCTCCCCCCCATGAAAGTGAGACAATTGACAGTCGAAACGTATCTAAAAATCATTGTCGCCACTTATAGACTCAGTGCAGTATTCTTAGGTTAATTTTATTTTGCGTGTTTTAACTGGTTCCTTTTTTTTCGTGTTAAAGAGGACTTCACAGATATTTCCCATAATCCAACGCGTCGCTGCGGACTGACTGTGGACAGGGCTAGCTTCTCTGTCTAAACTCTCTGGCAGCAAGCTGCTGGTAGCTTGGCTGTGCTAAGACGGCAAGAAGCGTCCGACCGGCGGGGGAGGTAGGCAGTGCATAGAGAAGGACGGAGGGAGTTTAGGCTGTGTCCCGCATTTGGAATAAGCGAGACTAGAATACATTTTTTTTCTTCTCTTTTTGACGTGAAGCGAACTCCTCAATAACCTTCAAAAGAAACTGCTTTTTTAAACGAATAACTTTCGGACGTTTGAAACTCTCGAACTAGCTGCAGTTTTGAACTGCGAAGAAAAACTAAACAGACATTTGTTTTCTGGACGAAGAATGGGATTTAAATAACATATCTGCCAGCAGTGAGTTGTGAATTCCCAGGGAGACAATTCCTAGTTGGATAAAAAAAAAAACATTTTCGGAAGGGGTTGGAATTCCAACGAGCTTTTCTTTAACTCTACGTGTTCCATGTCACCTCGTAGAAAAAGGTGGCAATAATGGCATTTGGAAACGGGGAAAAGTAACGTTAACGTTAGCTTCGCGGCTAGCTAAATAGCTAAGCTAGCAGGCTGCTTACTAAGCCTGTGTCGCCCTTCCATTCCTGGAGCAGAGGAGGGGCGCTTGGGCTTTGTAGCATTGCAGATCTGCCTTGCATTTTCGGGCTTGCTGGAAGAATGGAGAATTCCAGATATCCGCCACAACACCAACGGAGGGAGATCTGTTGTTAAAAGCATAGAATCGATTTGATTCCATTTCTCTCGCAGGGGGAAAGACCAGAAAAACTGCCAGTAAGCGGTGCGATCTTGTCCAAAAATCTACCGGCCTGGGGCAACCGGGGTCTGTAAATTCGGGACTAGCATATTTGTTGTCTCATGCACCCTGTGGGAAAAGGCACCAGACATGTGGAAGCGCTGCATATCAAACCGGGCTCTTAGATGTTGGATCTTTAGAGGAAGATCATGAATAGGTGAATCTTAGCGCAGAATTAGCTCCGGCCTGCCCCCTCAGCATAAAGTTTTTATTATTTCCGAGACATCCTCAAGGTGAGAGAACTTCTCTACAAGGGCCCCTTCTGCGGTGACCAACAGGCCGAGGAGGCATTCGTTCGTTGTTTTTTTTTGTTTTTTTTTACCGTCTAGCTCCCGTCACCATCATTACTTTAAAGGGCAACAACCCGGAATAAACATGTCGGGAGAGGTGCGTTTGAAGAAGCTGGAGAAGCTGATCCTGGACGGGCCAGCTCAGGCTAATGGCCAGTGCCTGAGTGTGGAAACGATGCTGGATATCCTGGTCTGCCTCTATGATGAGTGCAACAACTCTCCGCTTAGAAGGGAGAAAAACATCCTGGAGTTTTTGGACTGGGGTGAGTCATCCCTCATAAATGCATATTTTATTGTTTCCTCTCGTTTGTCTTGTGCGTTGGGCTTTACTGTCTCTTTGGTAAGATGATAAGCTGCTAAGTGTTGCTGGTGCAGTGGCCCTGCCTTCCTCATCACATTCCTTTTATAGAAGTAGTGGGGCTCACTGGGCCTGCTCTCCCTCCCTCAAACTTAAAGGCAAGGTCACTTGTTTTGTTGTGTAACCGAAAGTTTGATATGTTTTGGAAAAGGATAATGCACAGCAGGCTGTTGGGGGATACAAGGTAGCACATTCAACAGAGGTTCAAATCCTGGTTTACTCCCAAAACCAGCAAACGGGAGGAACCCGACACGGAGAAGGATATTAAGAGAATCCTGTAGAGTTTTGATAGAGTAATCTAATAAAGACGTATAAAAAAATATAAAGTTGTCTTTGCAGGAGCTTTCACGACTGCTTTGCTCCTTCGTCAGTTTGTTTTCTTTTGTATGGGTGTAGGTGAATGTTTGTTGGCAGAGTCATCTTAGGTTTGCTCACCAAATAGACGTGAATTTGGATTTGTTTTGTTGTTTCACGACTGTCTCAGTTCCCTGCTTTCAAGTTATGAAAAAATGAAAAGACAGGAGTTGGGTTGAGGGGTGGGGGGGGACCACACACAAACATAAACACACAATTCTTTTACCTCGCCAGAATGACTGTGTGTGTGTGTGTGTGTGTGTGTGAGTGACACTGGGGTTTAGTTTGTGCATGAAAGAGGAATGTGAACAACTCACTTTTTTTTTTTTTTATCTAGCGCAGAGGCCCAGCTAGCTGCTGGAGCATGCCTGGTTGGCCGGCCTGCCTTTGAAAGCACTGAAAGAGGTGCAGCCGTGCTGAGGCAGTGAGGGACTCGCATAGCTTCTCGCGCAGGCAGAAACATGAATCAGAACGAATTAATAATCCATGAAGCAATAGCAAACAAAAGCATACTGGAAGCAAAGTGCTGTTTGGGGCATTTTCTAGCATATCTTTCACTTTAATGGCTAAAAAAAAAATGAAACCGGGAGGTTTAAACAGACGAGCTCATGGCAGTGACGGACAGGATGGTGGTGAGGACGGTCAAATGGTGTGAGATGGTGTCCAGGCAACCTGCCCTGTACTACAAATGGAGCTATGCTAGCTGGAAGTGGTTGCATTTACTTCACTTTAACTTTTCTACTCTTGAGGGGCCACAGGTTAGGTTCGGCTTGCTCTTCGTCAGCTGATCGGCGGAATCCAGTCGGCCCGGCAGGGATGCCTGTGGGCCCCGGCCTTTAAGGAGATAAGCGGTGCCAAGTGGTGACTTCATCTTGACAGTTCCCTCGAGCTGACACTAGAAACAGTTTGACTAAGCCAGACACAACACACGGACACGTCCAAAATGTCATAACTGTCCAGAGGTGCCGCGCTGCTTCCGCCTATTTTGTCCGGCACACAAGCACCATAGGATTGTTAACTCGCTCAAAATGCAGAGCAAACTCTTTACATGCTCTTTTTAATGCAGGGGTTTGTTATTAGTGTCTTCTCCAAAAACAAAAATATAATTTTTTCATGTGCTTTTAAAAAAAAAAAAAAAAGAATAAATAAATAATGACTTAGTTGAATGCTTCTTTCAATTTAAATGCTAATGTGTAGTTTATCTCTATGGAGCACGTTGTTCCAGATGGTTTCAAACATGAATAATTAGGCTGTTGATTTATTGGTTTTGGTATTTCAAAGAATGATTTATTATTATTATTATTTTATTTTTGTAATACTTGATAAGGTGACAGGCCTTCGCAGTTTCCAGGGAAACACACAGAAATACAACTGTACCAACTTTAAATAATTTGGATTGAGTTCATGCATATTGACCATTTGTGGAGAAAACGTTTATGTTGTGATTAAATAAAAATAGCCCAGAAGTAACTTTTTAGTGACTTTGGAGGGTTAGACCATTTCCTGTCTTTCACACACACTTCTTTGGTACTCTGGTCTTTGCACAATGTTTTTTGTTACTTTTCTTATGTTAACATTTATTTCTATGATTTTCTATATTTATTGTTGGACATTTTTTTAAATGATGCTTAAAGATACAGAAAAACTTCCAGGTTTTAGGTTTATTCGAAAAACATATGCTTTTCACTTTACTTGATACCATTTTTTAAGCTTATATTAACACCCTGGGTGCCTGATTCATTTTTTGTTTCACATCCGAAGTTTGTGACAGATAAAATCCTGGATTTTATCAGCTTTGGGATATAATCTCAGAGACTACATTTCCCTTATAATTTTGAGCTATTTGAATTAAATGTGAAAACTAAAGTGTGGTGATAGCCCTTTTTTTTTTTTTTTAAAGAAACAAAAAAGAAAATTCGGAATTCAGCTTAGCAACACCAAAACATTAGATAGGTACACTTATTAGAGAAGCTCTTTTTTCTTTAGAGGTGGTAAGTGCTGTTTAATGGAGAAAGTTTTCCATCATGTGTAAAAGAAATAAAATCTCCTAATCTGGTGTGGTTTCAGCACTGCGATAACACACTTCCACCAGGCATCAGACCACACCTCTGTGACAAAGCCGGCAACAAAAATTGCGGTAGAATTAAGGTCAAGTCTGGTCTTGTTCTCAAAAGTTTTGAGTGTCGCCACTCCCATGTTTTTTTTCTTTTTCTTTTTTTCTTTCTTTCTTGGCAGAACATCCAGCCACAGGGTCAAAGGAAAAAGCACACCTGTTACACATTTAGCGCTATTTGAAGTTTTACTACCTAAATGTTAACCGAGGAGGTGTTATAGTATAGTTAAATTCTAGCTGCCCGAATGATTTTAGCCGCTAAGAAACACACCGGATCAGACGTATTGTATTAGAACACAGCCAAAACAAAATTCAGTCTCACATACAGAAAAATAGTTCAAGAGGGGAGCTATGAAACCTAAGACCTCCTTAACTTGTAACTGGCCTACCTTTGTAAGCCACGAAGATGCTAAAGAGATGCATCATTGTGTAAAGACTGAAAAATACATTTAAAAACCATCACAGCTGTGACAAATCTGTGCAAGCTTTTTTTTCCCCCTCTCCGACACTATATCAGAGCACCGAAAATTGTTTTGGGTTTGCTTTCTTTCTTGTTTGGTGACCTCATTTCAGGCTGAAATGGGAGACCCCTACATGACCTGCAGCCACAGGCACAAGGGGAGTGGGGGGGGGGGGCAGGTGGACAACATGGGAAAGTACGCTATCCTGACTCCTCACGCATGATGGCTGGATTTGTGCTTGTTTTTTTTTAGCTTTGAGGTTGTCAGAAATGGTGCAACATGAAGGTATAAGCTAAAGGGTTTAGCATTTGGATTCCATTTCATGTGGTTTGTTTATGGCTTTCTGAGAGGACGTACCCTGACTAATTTTCCATGGAATGAGCAGTCCTCGGTCCTAGAGTGAATTATGAGTTAGTTTGAATGACGTCCTTTCAGTTTCCCATTGACCCGTGTGGAAATATCAGTAAAAACAAGTCGTAGAATGTTTCCCAGGAATTTCTCGAAGGTTTTTCGAGAAGCTGGGGGGGGCAAAGTGAATGAAAACCGGGGGGCCACTGTGCCAGGCCGCAGTTGGCAAACATGGAGGGAGGCAGCCTGACCTTTTTCAATCCACGAATCAGTGTCAGCCCACAGTGGCCAGCTGTTCAGCTGCAGCTGATGTGCGCTCCACCCTACGAGGCTTTCATTGGCAGCGCGCCTCTATCGCAAACAACATTCTCGCACACGCACACACATTATTGTGGTTTTGCCGAACTCTGCTATCTCACATTACAGACCGGAGTTGCCTCCCCTTTCTTCCCACTATTAAGCAGACCAGAAGAGCTGCATGTGCATTTGGGAAGATTTTTTCCCATTCGCGTCGCTTCCAGAAAGCAATCTTAGTGTCACGTGGTTTTAAATTCACCCCACCCCCCCTAGTTTCATACGCTCGGCCCACGGCCCAGCTTCAGAAACGACTGTTTAGGTCACTTTAAAGTGATTCCTAGCTCTTTTTGTTGCTGCTTGCTTTGCTTAGGAAGAGAGTGGGGAGGAAATGTACTTTAGTCCTTATTTTTTGTTTTCATATATAGCAAAGGCAGAGTGAGGAGTTGAATGTAAACCAGTATTTTGTAACTTCTTGTCCTGGTCCTGACCTGGACAAGAAGTTAATAAATACTTGCTGTTTTTAAAGACTTTCAGGTAGTTTTTAATTAGATATTTTTTTGCGAAATGGGGGGAAATGCTTGCCATCACCACCTGCTAACTATCTGAAGTTATCGTCCACGTCTGGTCGTTTTTTGGGCTTGGTATCGGGAGGTCAACCCCCCTGCGGGCCGGCCTCTGTCAGGACATCCTTGTCACCACTCCGGCTGCTCGGCCGTTTCCTGCGCGGCTGCCCGGTGTGGGCACAGAGAACAGGAAGGAACCGCAAGAACTCTGTGAGCTAGTGCGGACCCCAGGAGGCGCCTGATGTCATACCAGGAAGTGGGACAGCTGCGTATCGCATTGTATCATTGTGTACTACACAGCTTTACTCACATCCAGGGTTTTTGGTGTTGTCGGGGAAGACACAAGGTCACGCTGTTTAAGACACAAGGTCACGCTGTTTGCGTCCCTGCTTTTTTACACCGGTCTGCTCACAACAGATGCCTGTTTGCTCACGTTTTAACATGCACGCACACACACAACTTCTTCCATTGTTCTAAGAGGACTCGCAAACAATCAGACATAGCATAGGGGCCCATGTATCCTCTCATCCTCTGTTCAGCATCCTAAAAGGGGAACTCCAGCCATCACTAGAAATATTTTTGGCTGTCTTTTCCCGGCCCATCTCACTTACTTTCCATATGTATGGACCCTGTGTTTCTCCCAGCAATGCAAATGCCCTGAAAGCATCATGGTCTAATTTGGTCTTATTCCTTCCTCTTACTACTTTGAAAAAAAATAAGATCCTTTCTCATTGTAAAATGTTCCCCATCAATATCGTTTTCATATCATAGTCATAAATATTAATATGCCAATGGGGAGCTGGCACGCTTAGCTTACCAAAAAAAAAAGAAAAGGATGCCTCGTTGGATTGTCTTGTGGTAATTCATGTAAGTGTGTACTTTATTTAACAATTTAAAAGAAAAGGCTATAAATCAAACGTAACCTGAACATTTTTTATTTTTGTTCCTGCTCAGTTGATATATATATATTTTTTTCCCCTGCTGAACTACAGATTGACACCAGTCCTTTCACGGCATCTTGAAAGGGAAAAAAAAATCAATTCAGGAACTCTCCAATTAAGCGAGGAATTTATTGACTGATTGATTAGATTTCTCACAGCACTTTGAGCAATGCTTAAAACGCGTCTGCCTTCTTGCAGTTGGAGCCCAGTCGTTTGTCTTCTTTTTACCAGTGATGGGTGAGACGGCCCGCTCAGAGTTTCTTGTGTTAACAGAGAAAAAGCAAAACGGCCCGCCTCACAGCTCAGCATCAGGATATTCAAAGGTGGCCTTTAGAAACACTTGCGCAATCTGTCTGGGAGCTTTGTAGGCAGATAAATGGCTGCTGCTAATTGTGATGTGTCATCAGAAAGTGGCAGGGTAAGGCTCGGCTTCCTTCCTCCGTCTCCCAGAGGACGCCCTGTACTCACAGGTCATTAGCCAGCCTCTCAGGACCCTCGGGATCTGACGAATGGTCTTTCCTCCCTCCATCCCTTCCCTTTTGGTCCCCTCTCTACCTTTTTGTCTTCTGATCTTCCCCTCTCTTTCTTCCCTCGCTTCCTTATATGCTGGCTTTCGGCTGACCTCTCCCCCTCAGCTGTCTGTCAAGCTCCTTCATCAGTGTTCCATAAAGAGAGTCTGCATTTTTCTTTATTTTTTTGCTCATT